GAATTTACTTTTCCCCAGGACTAGCCCCCGCGGCTTTCAAATTCCAGCCCGTCAGTCGAGCTAAACGATCCCTCGCTCCTTAAGAATGTATCTTTTTTTTATGTCTGATCCTTTGCTTTTTTTAATGCAAATTTTAATCATTCGGTAACGTTGCGAGCTGGATAAGAGATACAATGAATAGATATCGCCCCATGAACAGCCTCTGGTCATGTGACGTCGACCAAAGAAGGAAAGTCGCTTTCATCTTGTGGCGAAATGAATTGGAGACACTACATGTAGAACTTGGCACAAAGTCAGAATTTTGATACTTTGAATCGATATAGATCTAGTCCCCCCAAAATATGCCTCCGACGGACTCGTCAAGTACATGACATCGCCGAAATGGGGAAAGGTTTCTTGTAATTTTGTGTGTGTGGGGGGGAGGGGGTTAAATCACATTGCGCAATGAATTGGAGTTCCTAAACTGCTAAACGAGCACTGCAAGCGCAGAAAGAATTTGCAACCTATAGCCTGAAAGATGCGAAGAGCGTAGGCTAATGGAAAAAAATTCAACAAACCATTTATTGAGGAACAAAATGAATGTGGGTATGCGTCAGAACGCCCCGTTCAGCAGACCTATTATGTAGGGATCGCCATGTTGAACAGGTGGCACCAGACCGTCAGCAAGTGACGGTCCAGAAAACGTTTTTTGGGGTGTAATTAGAAAAATATATATTTGGATAGTGAGAGGTCTACATTAAAAAATGGAAGTTTGTTTTGTTTGTTTGACTGTGTAAAGAGAAGTATATCCATGGTATTGGTCATTGAGTGCTGGGAAAAAAGTAAGATCGACAGGCAAAAACAACAGAGGGAAAGTAAAGAAGTAGGACCAATCAGTGGCACCCGCAAGGAAAGTTTGAAAATGGAGAGAACAGAGATAAATATTTTTGAGCTTGTAGAAGTAAGACAGTAAGATTAAAAGGCACTTGAAAGACAACATCAGATGGCTACAAACTGCAGTATGCGGAAAGGCGGGGATAGACACCAGAGAGGAGTAAGAACCATGTTTGCACCAAGGATGGCAACGATAATGAAATGCTACGGGCTACCAGCTCAGACAGAATTATATAGCTGAATCCTGAACGTGAAACTTTTTAACATTAAAATTTGTACTCTAAAGTCTGTGCTCCAACAACAAACCATGAAAACTATTTTTTTTAAAAATACATGTATGAAGAAATCTGCGAACAACAGGACAGAACCATGACACAATTAAAATCAAAAGATGTAAAGATTTTAATGGTAGGTTCCAACACCAAAGTAGGAGTACGTAGAATGAATGTAGTTCAGACAGACTCGGGGAAACGAATGACGGTGGAAAACTTCTAGTTGAATAGTGTACAGACAGTAATCAAGTCTTGACAAACGCTTGGATTAAATCAAGAACCACCCGAAAACAAAAATGAAATGGAGATGGGGATGGATGAGCCCGGAAGAGAAGCATTGCAATCAGATTGATTTCATTGGTACATACTCTTTCGTAATATAGCCCTATCGGTCAAGTCTATGCCGGGAATAGACTGTGGCGGCGACCACATCTATGATATGTGCTATGGCAGCTACTGTGAAATTGAAGGTCCTTGATTAGGAAAACAAAACACCAATCAACATGTCACTTTAAACTTTTGAAGACGGATCATAAACTGAGTGAAAAAAATCAGAAAGTGAAAAATACATTTGCTGCCGTGGAAGCTGTAACACAAGCTAAGGATAAATTGGAAATTGGGAAAAAAGAACAGGATAAAGGCAAAGGAAAAAGACATACCACTCAGACAAAAGAACGAACACAAAAAGTGAACGACCAAAAAAATCCTAAACCAAATGAAGTTGGGGAGCAAAGCAAAGGGTGATCCTACAAAATACAAGAAAATAAAGGAAGAAATAAAGAAAATTATGCAATGAAGCCAAAGAAACAGGGACAAATGGCAAATACAAAGAAACTGAGAACAAAGAATAATTTTTTTTAAATACATGAAAATGCGGGGGCTCTCGTGGCATAGGTGTTCGCTTCTCATTCAAAGGTCCCAGGTTCGAATCCGGGTAGCCACGGAATTATTTTCTTCTCTAAAATCATCTCCTTTCACCTTCTTTCCTTCTCTCTTGGAATAATATTCTGTCGTTTGCTTTCGTCTCCACTTT